CCCCCAGGCACAGCTCCAGGTGCCAGGGAAGCCTCTGAGAGGGCTCGGGGGGTATTTCAGGGCTTGGAGTGGGGACCCTCCTTCTTCCACCAAGGAGCAACCACTTCTTGCCTTGCAAGGAGGCAAGAAGTGAAAGGGCCCAAAATTAGGGAAGTTCAACATGCTGCCCCAGAGTACCAGTTTCCACTCCCAGCTGACACATGACAACTTGCTTCCACTCCATTTTTTCCAAGGGATTTGTCCTCAGACCCCCCCAGAAGGAGAGCCACTGCCTGTCATGATGCTTTATTGGCAGGATCTGCCACCAGGTCCTGGCTTGCTGGAAGGACATGGGGGTGGCTGGTCACAGCAGTAACAAAAACCAGGTGAAGATTCAGCCGCATCAAGACATAGTTGACATAGCAGGAGCCTTCCCCCCCCAAAAAACCCCATGCTTGGCCAAAGGCATGTTTTCCTCCCACTCGAGCACCGCTGGAAAACCTCAAATGCTGCTCTCTGAACATTGAACACAACGGCGCATCAACCCGGGGGCTGGCATCTCAAAATGTCCACCTCCTCTTGCACAAACCTGCCATGCTCCATCTTAAATTACTAGACCAGAGCAACCCCGGGCTCTGCAGCACCTCAGCTTCGCTGCACTCCACATTGCCTTGATCAGACCGACAGGCAGCAGTGGGAATTTTGGCCAAAACTATTGACACATTTCTGGGGAAAAACCGAACCCAACCCAACCAAACCAAGAGCAACCCCTGCTTGGTGCAGGTTAGAAACGTGTCCCCAGCTTCAGCACCGCTCTCTGGCATCTCGTCGTGTCAGAGAAGGAACTGGTGTTGGTGTTGGCTGGCGGGGAAGCGTGCCTTTGAGTACTTCAAGGAAAATCTGCCCCGGGGTTGGGCAGAAAGCCCTCCCTGCCCAGCTGCCCGCTGGAGATCGGCTCCAGGGGTCTGGCAGCGAAGCTCGTGGAAAGCCCAGGGTAGAAGAGGAAGATCCGCAAGGGGGGCAGGAAGGGCTACAAGGGCGGACAAGAGGCCACCAGCATCTCCAGGGGTGACAGGGACCGCGGCAGCCCAGAGTGCAATGTTTGGGAACTGAAACATCACCCTGCCCTAGCTGTGGCACCTGGCGGCACCAGCCCTGCCGAACCGGCTCCCCGTGCCTCAGAGGGCCGGCAACACCCTGGCCTAAGCCCTCAGGTCAGTCTAACCAGCTGGAGCAGATCTGAGCTCAGGTGTTTGGGACTGCAGTCCCGCCTCCCTTGCCTGCAGCTGGCACATCTGCCTGCCACCAGTGACCCCTCCACGGCTCAGCATTCGGTTGTGCCCCTGCAAAACGGCTTGTGCATTACCCGGCGTGTTGCTCTGGGACGGCTGTTTGCAGGATCTGGGCACCTGCATCCTCAGCAGAGGTGACCCCAGTTAGAAGGACAACGCCAGGTTTGCTACATCTCAGCTGGGTATATTCCCGACTCGGATGGGGACGAAGAGCAGCAGTGCAAAGCCACCCCACCGGCTGGAAAGAGCCAAATGCGGGTGGAAGAGACGGGGCGCGAGAGCTCTGCTGAGTAAAGATGCCTGGACCCGAGCAGACCAACCTGTTCTGCCGCTCACCGCCTCACCCCGATGGCATGAGGCACCATTTCTTTCTGGTCACCAGATTTTGGCTACCTACCCCGCCGAGGGCCGGGCAGGCTGGCAGCCTCTCCCCTACCCAGGCCAGGGATAAGCACGTCGGAGATGGGCACCGAGCAGTCCCTCACCCCTATCAGTGCTCAGAGAGGGGACTTTGAGAGCCGGCAGGGAGGAGCAGCGGTGGACACCATCAGTCAGCAGAGCTGCTACCCGGTACCGCCAGTCTCACCCACCAGCACCGCGCCCGGCGTCAGGCAGAACCGTCGGCACGCATCGTTCCCAGGGCACCGAAGCCCTGCCTTGACATCTGCCCTGCCCCTGCCTGCGCTTCGTGCCCTTTGCAGAGGGACGGGCGGTGGTTTGCTTCCTTGGGGGTGGCAGAGCAAGAGGAAGGCAGGAGGAGAGGCCGAGGGCAGGCAGCAGTGCCGGCAGAGGCCGGCCCGGCAGCGTGCAGGCAGCCCGTTTAAGCCAGGCAGTATTTTGGTGGCAGCCCTGCCTTTCCCTCCCAGGCTGATGTCATGCTTTAGTAAGTTTGAGGCTGAGTCACATGGCAGCTTCTGAGGTCAGCGCCTGGGGTGGCTTTGTTGTCTGCCTGCCTGCTTGCCCTGGGCTCCTGCCTGCTTGCCCCGGGCTCCTGCCTGCACCCGGAGCCCGTCCCCGCCAGCCGGCCACCCTGCTGGGGTTCCCCTTTTTTTCCCGGTGATACCCACGGCTCGGCATCTCTGCGATCCCCGTGGCTCTGCAACGGTGCGGGAGCCGTCGCCTCGGTTGGGGCCGGTATCCTGGACAGTCGGACGCGCCTCGTGTCCATCCGTCTGCCCGCAGAAGGGGCATTGCCCCCCGTCCCCGGGGGTCAGGGGGGATATGGGAGAAGGAGGCGGAAGAAAGGGTGTGACGGGGCGCTCTAATCTCCGCATGTGATCTAACCGGGCTGGAAGGGGTTTGACGAACAATTAACAATCCTCCAGCTCAGCTGCTGTTTCCCGAAATAGCTCTGGCAGGAGGAGGAGGGCGGACGGGCTGGCAGACAAAGGTGGCCTCTCCGCCAGCAAGCTGCAGCCGGCAGCGCGGCCGGCAAGCCGGCGGCGGAGGCAGCCCTGGAGGCCGAGCAGCGGGGAGCCCGTGGCCCCACCTGGAAAGGAAAACAATGCGAGATAAAAGCAGCTCGGGGCAGGAAGCAGCTTGTGGTACAAATAATAATTGCAGAGGGCTGCGCACGCCACCGGGGCTTTTGGAGGCGTTTAAATCCGCCTTCGACGGCGGGCAGAGGAGGGCGGCGCCGGTAAGCTCATCGGGGATTCGTGCGGCTGCATGTTGAGCAGGAGCGGCGTGGGCTGCTGGGGCTGCGTGCCGGCTGCCTGCATCCCCA